TGAATATTTGTTGAAAAGCTAACGAGATGTTTCAAATTGTCATACACGTTCCGTGCCCATTTACTTCTAGTAAACTTAACGCATCTTCTTGTAATCAAGGCTAAATTCGGAGGTGAAATAATATTAGCGTTCATCTTGAGTGAATATTGCACCACAAGCTCTATTAAGGCCACGTGACCTGATTGAGATCATATGAAACTCAGCTATCTTTTTCGGCTTTCGAAAGAGGAAATGCAACTAAATCTGCCACGATGAAAAAACCCTCACCTCCACCCACCCAACCCCCCCCCCCCACAAATGCTCATTGGGTGGCGATGCTTGCGAAATTTTTATTTGGGAAACTGATACAATAAATTAACCATCGAGCAAATATTCTACGGTCCAACTCCAAAAAATCAGTCAAATTAGCTCTTTTCACGTTCTCTTGTCTAGCCCCCTACCAGTTATATTTTTTCTAGTGAGCTTTACTTATCCTATCTAAGTCATTTAAATATTTTTTCAGCACTATTGTGACTTGCAGTCATGACAGTCTTGCCATTGAAAGTGTAATAAATTGATTTTATGGCATCGAAAATTGATGGAATGTGGATGGAGTGAGCTCTGCTAGATTGAAATGACTTCCTATTCGATAGAACTCGAATGTAACCTGGAAGCGAGCTTTCTTATGACCACTCCACGTTTATTGCTGTTTGATGTAGAATGAAATTGTGAGAAATGGTTTCAAATGAAAGGGCTTCTTTAGAATGAAATTGTCAGACCAAGCGAGACCATCGTATTTACATCGTATTGGTGAAATAGCACGAGGTTTCAAGGGATTCCCGCCTTGGGTTATCAGATATTCGAACCAATGCATTCATTGGTTCAATGCGCTTCATTGATATTATCTTACATATAATATTTTAGAAACGGGGTGTGAGATAGACTTACCTCCACGTGGTACACCCAGAGCAACCTATTCTCATATGGCAAAAAGTCTATTAATCGGCAGTTGATTTCTGACTTCAAACTATCATCATACTACTGTATGCCATATTCGACCCCTTCCAAAGTACTAATTTTACCTTTACTCTGGCTCTATGTCTTTTATACCTGTGAATTATTATTCTGTCCCCCCTCTCGACTTTTTTGCCACTTTGATGTTCTTCCTTCTCTCTGTGAAGCCCGAAGTCAGCTAAAGGATTGATGATTTGAAATAAATAAATATTTTTATAATCTGAGACCCTCTACACCTCATGAAGTTGGATTATGGAGAAGAAATTAGTGTTAATGAAATGAGGAATTCAGATTATTCGGGTAATTACATTTGTGCTTGACCGAATGCCAGCCAATTACAGTTCCTTAAATGCATCCCAGTGTCATTGTGGAGCTTTCAGCCATGAATTTCCAATGAGACTACTTAATAGTCCTTTAATTGATTGCCTCATATACCTCCCTAATGACCATTCACCACCCATACACATGAATATTTGATTTGCGACATTTGGTGACGTCAAATAACAGAAAAAATTGCAATCAAACAGGAGGTAGATTTACAAGAAGTGGAACGGTAAGAAATCATGTTGCTCTATCAACGAAGGCCTAATATGTGTCAGTACGATGACCTAGCTTTTTCCTCAAATGATGTGAGCTCAAATTATTGAAAAATGCGATTCCCTCAGCGATACTTCATTTTGAGGCTTACTTTCTCGTTAGTCTCAAAAAAA